AAAGAGCAACTATGATCTAAAAGGTATCAAAATTTACAAAAAAAAAAAAAAAAAAAAAAAAAAAAAAAAAAAAAAAAAAGCTTAATATTTATTTGTTTACTTTATTAAACATTTCTTTCAATGTAAGTTGTTTAAGTTGCTTCATTTTATGGGCTAATACTTTCTCTTTAATTCTATAAACAGACATAATTTCTTGTTTAGTTACAAAGTTCTGTTGTTCAAGTCCTGTAATTGCTGTGCCGAGAAACTTGTCAATCGAAATTTTTTTGTTTTCACTAACCTCTCTGTCACTTTCTTCTCATGCCTTTATCCATTTTTTGCAGCAATTCCACTTTTTGTTTGATGGACATCGAAATATGCTTTCACTAACTATTTGATTTGTATTCGTGATATTTATAATGACGAGGAATTTGATTTTAAATCATATCAAAGACAGAGTACATCGAGATGAAATACTACATTATAAGCCAAATAAAATAAAAACATCTGCCCTGAAGATAAGGATAGTGCTGACAGATCAACTTCCAGTTCATTGCGCGCTGTGAAGTCCCCCTGCCTGCGCACAGAGCAGCGTGAAATTGATAAACAGATTTCGGAATGGTTAGAGAAACAAAGGAGCTTTTATCCATTTTTTGCAGCAATTCCACTTTTTGTTTGATGGACATCGAAACATGCTTTTCCCTTTGTAAATTCCTTTGGCAGCTCCAGCCATGGAAATTCTATTTGACATAATCGAAAGTTCCAACTTACTTTTATAAAATTGCTCCAACGGTCTGCAAAAAATAATAAGCCGGATCCAATTAGAAGATTAAGGAACAACGCAATCTGCAATATTAACTGAAATAGATAATTAGATAATTTTAGCCTAACTTATACCATCCGTTATACATTAAACGCGCATGCGTAAACATATTATGCTCATGCGTAAACGCATAATGCGTTTACGTATGTGCAGAAAGTTTGTAGCTTTGAGTTCTGGATTATAGATCATTCTGGATTAAAGACTTTGTACTGTATTTCCTTTTCTCTGTTATTTCATTGTATGATTTAAAATACAGTTTATTGAGCTTCGATTGGCTACAAATTTTGTTCAGTATTGGTGATGAGTAACTTTGATTTAACATTATATGACATAATTATTCTCCTGAATTTTTTAAGTGAAAATAGATCGATGTGTACATGGACAAAGTCAAGAGAGTACACAGTGCCAAGTTTGTGCAATTCTCTGATTTTTTTTTAAGTGAAAATCGATCAATGTGTACATGGACACCGAGTTTGGGCAATTCTTTGACTTGTTATTTTGCTTTTGTGTAGCGGCCATCTTGAAATTGTGCCTTGCTGGCTAATCACCAAAAATCGCAAGGGGGCACCCTTAAATATATTTTTACCAATTAAAGTTATCCAAGATTTTTCCCAAACCAAAAACTGTTAATGAACTGAGATGTTTCTTGGGACTTCTTAATTTCTATAGAAGATGCTTAAATCATGCTGTTGAAGTTCAATTTCCTTTAAATGGTATGTTGGAAAGTTGTAAGAAAAATGACAAAACACCCTTAGCTTCGTCAATAGACACTGAAACAGCTTTTAAGTCATGTAAACAGCTTCTGATAGAAGATATAAATTTAGTCCATCCAGACACAAAAAAGAAAACTGCCCTTTTGTGTAATGCCTGAGAAAAAGCTATAGATGCTTTCATTTAGCAACTTAATGTACAAACGTAGAAACCACTAGTATTCTTTTTGAGAAAATTGAGTGATATTGAACAAAAATATAGCACGTATGACACAGAACTTTTGGCGACATTTGCTACTATTAAATATGAGGGCATTTCAAAAAGTAAAGATACACCGTACGCCAAAAGAAAAGAAAAGTTTTGGTGAGCAAGTTGGCAACACAGGTGTTAACCTTGAACCGTTAGCTTTCTCTTCGCTGTGTCATGCGGCATTTCACCACTGATTCTGGTTGGAGTAGGTCGTGTTTAAAATGCCTGCGCCAATTCAGAATCCCGCCAAATGCGAAGTGCACTCTGTCACATGTTTTCTTCATGCAAGAGGTCAGTGACCAGTGGATATTCACAAAGAAATTGTCTCTGTTTATGGGAACATTATGAATCAACAAAAATGTAATGAAATGGTGTCGTCATTTCTCTGAAGGTAGGACCGATGTTCATGACGAACAAAGAACAGGTCAGCTATCTGTGATCTCTGATGCCCTTCTTCAGAGAACAGAGGAAGCAATTCGTGGGAACAGACGTCTCAAATTGAAAGAATTGCATCAGATCATACCGGAAGTGTCAATAACAACTCTTTATGAAATTGTGACTGTCAAGTTAAGGTATGAAATTGTGACTGTCAAGTTAAGGTACAGGAAATTGTATGCACGCTGGGTTCCAACAGGCGGCAACCTTCTACGACTGTGGGATAAAAAAGCTTGTGCACCGATTTAACAAATGTTTGGATAGTGGGGGTGATTATGTCGAAAAGTAATAAATAATCCAGTTAATAAGATGTAACTGACGTTTTCTAAATAAATGTTTTATTTTTAAGGAATGCGAGCCATTGTATCTTTACTTTTCGAAATGCCCTCGTACTTTAGATATCTGCTTGAAGGTATGAATTTTACAGTGTTTACAGGTCATAAGCTAAAAGCATTTTTCCAATCCCCTCTGACAAATTACTCAACTGAATTTTATAGGTCAGTTCACTACTGATATTCAACATGTGAGTGGTACAGAAAGTGGACCAGCCAATGCTCTTTCTCACATCAAAATAGTTACTAATGTCATTCCAATTAACTATGAATCTATGTAACAAGTGCAGCAAAGTGAAACCGTACTCCAATCTTTTTTAGACACAACAACAACAACAACAAAAAAAAAAAAAAAAAAAAAAAAAAATCAAATCTAAAATCAAAGAAGTTAACACTGGCTGCGAGTTTCGTAGAACTATATTGTGACATTTTGAATTGTAAAATCCGTTCTTTTGTTCCAGACAGTCATGGAAAAATCATCTTTTCAGCTCTGCATAACCTTCCCATCTGCACCTCATATTTTACCTGATGCTGACAAGGCCTCATCACAGCAATCAGCCTATCCAGTAAATGAAGAATTTGTTCCTGCAAAAGTAAACTACCAAACTCCTTTTGGACACCATGTTCACTTTTCAAAACGATTTGTGCAATACTAATATTTTTTTTCTTTTACAAAATTTTAATGCAATATTTTTCAGGAATAGCGATAGTGTGGGGTTTTACCTTTCCCCCCATATTTGTCCAACACTGACATCATGTCTCGATTTCTCCTTCTAGTGCATGTGTGATAAGAATCTTATATCTGCAGGACTACAAAAAGGAATTCTTTTGTTTTGAAAGTTTGCTCTGGTCATCGGTGTGATTAATGTCATTCTAAAATTATGTATATATTCTGCCTTATTAAAATAAGTTATTCCTTACAAATTGGTGTTTAATAATCATCTAATCCCCCCCCAAATTTTTAAATTGGTAAATTCTTGCAGCATAGAAAATATTTCTTGGGAAAATTGCATGGCAGTGTGCAGTAATGGAGCTAACACAGAGGTTGGTTAGGAGCTAACATGGGTTCATTGTATGATTCATACAGAAGACTTGTATCGAAAAACTGCTACTGAATTTTAAATTTGTTGTATATATTTGAGTTAAAATAATAAATTTTATAAAGGTGCATCCCACTGAACTCAAGGAATTTCTCGTAAATAAGCAGAAAAATGGTCAGTGAGCATCAGCAGCTTCTTTCACGTACAGAGGTGGGTTAGTTTGTGAGCTTGTGTGTGAAATAATCTGAACTTACAGGTGAAGTGTTTATTTTTTTTAAATGATAATAACAATAACAACAACAAAAAATTACATTTTTTAGTCAATGAAGAATGGCTATATAGGCTTACTTACTTAAATGATATTTTTCTCAAACTGAACAAATTTAAGTTTTCAAGAAGAACAATAAAATATAGTTATAGCTAATGATAAAACGAAAGCCTTTACAAAGAAAACTGGTACTCATACTGCAAGGAGATTGATTTTGCAGCATTTCCCCTTTTAGGAAGTTTTGTTATAGAAAATAAAAGTTATTTAACGAGTTTCTAAAGACATAACAGCTCACATGACAGAGCTTAAATATAACTTTAACACTTATTTTCCAGAAGATTTTTCAGACTCTGCATGGATCTGAAATACCTTTCAATATGCATTATCTAAAAATTTACCATTTCATTAAAGGAAGAAGCTAACTGCGTCATCAACTGATGCAGAGTTAAAATTTGTTTTCAAAGAACTTGAGCAATTTTTAGTCTTAAAGTTTGAAATGAATATTTAAAATTGTTTGATGCAGCTCTAAAGGTATTATTACCATTGCCTCGTCTTATTTGTGTGAGATGGGATTTTCCAAACTGCCAAAAAGTTTAAATAGCACTGCTGTAGAACAGTCACACTCTGTTACATACTGGAACAAAATCAAAAACCTTTGCATAAAAGTGTCCTTAAAATCAGAGAAGCTACTGAAATCACCACATGGTTATGTTAAAATAGAGAACTATTTTTCAATCTCCTGTATATCTGAATGAACATTCTAAAAAGTACTGCAACACTACACAAATGCAAAGAGAGTAAAGCAATAAAATGAAAAAATGCGAAAGAGTCATTTGAATTCTATTTGATGAAGCAGATCAGTCACCAAAAATTCCCCCCCCCCACTTCAATGCTGTTTTTAAGTAGGTTAGCTTGTGTTCCAACATTATTTTACTTATTAATGTAATTTTACATGTGCCCTTTAATCACCAACATTTATAATTTTTTACTTTGGTTTTGATTAATTTATTATTTCAATGTAATTCCAGGATAAATCATGTATCACAGAAAATAAATGCAATGGTCAAATGGAACAGCTGCAAAATAGATTCCTAGTTCTCTGACTTAAGTTATTAGATTTAACTATGCAAAATATATTACAACTATAAAAACAGAAATCTTACGCCTTATGTCCTTTGAAGACACGCAACAATCTGCCGGACTTCACTTCAAACAGACGTACAAAATTATCATCACTACCTGCCAGCAAAAGCTTTCCATCCTTTCGAAAAACACCACCATATGCAGTTTTTTTAAACCGTGATAAAGTTGATTGTAAAGAGTTGCTTGTGGTACTGTATATTTGAACCTAAAAAATTTAAATAATTTTATAATGCAAGTGTAATTTAAATATATATTTTTATAGAAACAATTACAATTCATAACATTGAACATAATTTACAGTTTTGAAAGTATGTAACATTCAGCATCAACTTGGCAAAATACACTGGAAAATAGTGAAAAACATATCATATTAGAGTACAAAAATACACAACTACAATCCAGTAAATCAGTCTATCTGTTAAAAAGTACATAATAATCCCTAAATGCTACAGTTAGAAGAGTCTGGTAAATGACAGTTTTGGTTCGATTCCTGTATATATTTGGATATTTGAGTCATTTTTCACTACCCACATGGGTGCAATATCAATCAACATTCTATGACACATTTGGGCAGCGTCACAGAGATGCCTTGTTAAAAATGAATAATGGGTTCAGATTACCTTCTAATGAATGCTTCAGGTCATTAAACCCCCTGTCCCCCCAAAAAAGCCAGTTCTTAAAATTGATATAATAATTTTCCAAATTAAATGAATAAAACCTTTTTGTAAGTTGAAAGTTACTTAAGTCAACACGGCAAATTTCTTAAACATAATTCATAAGAAACAGCAATATTTATTATTATTATATGCATATAAATAAATATATATGTTATTTACACAGTATTACTTTATAAATGAATGATCATTGTGCAATATTTACTTGGATATAAGTTATAAAAATAATAAAAAATTTCTTGCCAAGGTTTTTTTTAGTTTGAACAATGAAGCCAAGATGGCAAACCTGTACAAGCAATTCTGTATAGCATCAAATATTTAGACTAGACTAATGAGAGTGATGGAAGTTCTTGATTACTTTTTATGTGTTTTCAATAAGTTTTTCAACTACATCTTACTTCATTGGATTTTCAGTTTAAAGGTAAACTTTTTGATTTAAGAAATTTCTCACTATAGTATTTTGCTTTTTTCTCTGTCGTTTTCAATACTCGGAACACAAACGAATGGAATTCTTTCGTAAGATTTTTCTAAATTTGATTAGGTTTTACATTAAATAGTTACATTTACATAAAATTTTTTAAAAAAGTTTTGCAATGATATGAAAATGGCAAAAATGTACGTATCTTTCTGTATTGCATCTCAAATTTAGACTATAGTCTATTGAGAGTGAAGACAGTTCTTAATTCCGTTTTGGTTCTAAATAGATTTATCAACTACTTCTTAATTTATTGGATTATTTGTTTAAAGGTTGACATTTAAATTTACAAAAAAATTTACTGAAGTATTTTGTTTTTTCACTGCTGAATTCTTAAAGAATGGAGTTTTTTTTTTTTTTTTTTTTAGATATTTCTAATTTGAATTTACTTTATTTTTTCTTTCCTTTAAAGAAGGGCCAGAATTTTCGAGTGAACTATTATATTTATAATTTAAAAACACTGAAATGGTTCATCGGCTAATTCTGGATACAGAAAAGCAAGGATTTTTGTAGAAGACAGATTTCAATTAGTTTCAAAGTTCCTCCTCCTTGATGAAGTGACATTGAGATTGATTGAATTCCTCTTCTGTTTTTGTTTAATTTACTTTAAAAATGTCATGGTTTTTAAAAAGGGTTTTAGCTTGTTTGAAATGTTTGGTTTAACATTTTAAGTTAGTGTTGCATTATATGGTTATTTGAAATTTATTAATTATGAATTTCAATTCTGTCTTTGTGAATTTAAAATCTTACTTATGTCTTTTAATTATAAAAATAATATCTCTCTAATATATTAATTATATAAATAAACTGAAATTACACTTTTAAAAAAAAATAGCATCTTATGAGATTTAATTTGGCTTTTTAGTGGTAAAGTAGGTGTTAGGTGTGGACTGCAAAATAAAAAATGCTGTCCTTTGACAACTTCAAAACCTCTTAATTTTAGAAGGCTGAGGTAGTCAGGGGCTGTCTGAGTTATCTTGTTGATATAGTGATTGAAATCTCATAAAGCATGTCTAAATTAGATTTTGTAGTCTTACTTACAGCATTATAAGGCAGAGCATGTTCATGTTCCGCACCTTTCATGCTTTAAGTTCAACAACGCAAATTTTATTCTTCTCTATCGAATTTATTGTTCTGCATCCTGAGCTCTTGTTGATACAATTTTCTCATTTTCATACACATTCAAAATTTTGGTACTTTCAGATTATCTGCATCTCGCACCAAAAAGTCTTGAAAAAGTGCTTATGAGGCAAAGCAGGATGTTGCCAAAACGTAGTCATGTGACAACCCAAGTATGCATGTAACATACAGCTATTTTGGCAGATACAGAATGTGGAAGCTGCAGGAATGCTGGATTTTTGTACAATTCTCTGATTTTTTTTAAGTAAAAAAAAGATCATTATGTATGTTGGGAGAACAACAGACATAAAAAGATTTCTCAAAGAAAAAAAAAAGGGGGGGGAGTTACGTGTTTTATTACCAATGTTTCTTGCTTAAAAAAATTTATTGAATGCTCTTGTATGGAATTCTTAGTACTCTGCCATTTTGAAAATGCCTTTTGCATATTAGCTTGGCAAAAAGTTAGTCAGCAATGAGTTCATGACATTTCCTGGAGCTGCAGAATTTTCTTCTAAACTAATTGCAGACCTTTAGTATTAGATTCATTCCCATGCATTCAGTTTGGCATTTCTAGTCTATTTTAAGAGTAAATAAACAATGAACACAGTAAAAAAATATTTCAGGATGCCCATTCATGAAAATTGGCGACTGTCCAGCAAAGCACAATTTCAGCTAAACAAACCAAAATAACAAGTCAATAAACTCATCCATGTACACATCCATCTATTTTCGCTTAACCCTTTGACGTGCACGATATTATTTTTATAATTTTTTTACTAAAATCTCTAGAAATTTAATATTATGATCCTAGAGACAAATAATATATGAATTAAAAAAAAAATCTACTCTTGCCCATTGTTCTGTGGGTGGTGGTCGCACTGTGAAACCACCGCACGCCTAGGAATTTGAAACTTACCTAGATAATAGGAATAAAAAACTTACCTTTCTCTGTGCGCGTTTCCAATATAAATTATGGAATTTACGAATTTGAAAAAAATTTATGTATGAATTGATAATATATAATTTTGTTACATTATTTTACAAAATAAATCGTCAGAAAAAATTAAAAAAAAACATTTATGTAATTTTTCTATAACAGTGAAAATATAAGAACCTACATAAAAGGACGTTTGGCTAAATGGATTAAAAAACTCAGTAAAATAAGGATAAAAAAAAAAAAAAAAAAGACTCAGTGTTTTTTTTTTTTTTTTTTTTTTTTAAATTTCAAAGAGCAAATATTTTTTGTGACACTGTTCAAACCATGTTTTGTCTTTTTGGTGCATGCATAGACCCACACTGTATGTTTCTCACATGTATCTTCTATGAGGTTTCTTCCTTGTGCTACAACGTACACTGCCTAGATCTAAATTTCACTGGTATATGTCCAGCGTTATTTAGTTTCTTTTCATCTGGCACATGAAATTTGTGATTTTTTTATGTTAATCGGGGGCGGCTTGGTCTTTGTGGCTTTGGTACAGATCATTTGTTTCGCATTCATACTTATTTTATTCGTATTTCGTCCCAGAATATTCAGAAAATATTTTTTATTCAAATAAAACTTTACGCAATTTCTATTTTTAATTATAGCAAAGTATATTTACATTAAATTTAAACCACAGGAAATAATTTACAAAATCACAATAATAGCTTGGGGAGCAAGTGTGTTGACGTTAGAGAAAAGTCTCTGGAAAAGAAAGACCTTTTTACTGGGCAGGTGCATGTATTGTTTAGTGATAAAATAACTCTGTGGTTTCAAAACCCCTTATCTATATCCAGGTAAAAATAAACATTCCTATTTGAGAAGCAAGCAAATGCGATTGTGAACAGCAGTGGTTTCAAGGCGCGACCAATGAGCTTCTAGAGCATTGTGACACAATACTCTAGTAGTGCGATGGTCGTGCCCTGAAACCACAAAGCAAATGCCATACATATAGAGGTTTTTTTTTATATATGCAGTTTAATTAAAGCTATTTGTTATTGTTTATGATAGAAATCATGATGTGCGATGAATAACTTTTGAAATTTAAAGTTTTTTACATTAATAAAAGGAAGTTATTTTGTCTCATTGAAAACGAATTTTAAAAGGCATCCGATTTGAAGTACAGTCAAAAGTCGTTAATCCGGACTCGTCGGGACTTCGGCGATTCCGGATTATCGATTTTTCCGGATTATAGATCATCTGTTTAAATCTGGTAAGATGGCATGCAGAAATTATAAAATTAAAAATATGAAACCGTAATTTATGAAATAAAGAACAATTATGATCTAAAGGCTATCAAAATTTACAAAAAAAAAAAAAAAAAAAAAAAAAAAGGCTTAATATTTATTTGTTTACTTTATTAAACATTTCTTTCAATGTAAGTTGTTTAAGTTGCTTTGTTTTTTATGTGATAATACATTCTCTTTAATTTTTTAAACAGACATAATTTCTTGTTCAGTTACAAAGTTCCACTATTCAAGTCCTATAATTGCAGTGTCAAGAATACCGACTAATTTGTCAATTGAAATTTTTTCATTTTCAATAACCTCTGTCACTTTCTTCGCTATAGGAAGCGAATTATAATGACGAGGAATTTGATTTAAATCATATCAAAGATGGAGTACATCGAGATGAAATACTACATTTAATAAGGAATTATAAGCCAAATAAAATAAAAACATCTGCCCTGAAGATAAGGATAGTGCTGACAGATCAACTTCCAATTCATTGCGCTGCGCTGCCCCTGGCGTTAAAGATAAACAAAGTTTAGATAAACAAACGTTAAAGTTTAGATAAACAAAGGATACGCCTTTACCCATTTTTTTGTAGCAATTCCACTTTTTGTTTAATGAACTTCGAAACATACTTTCGCTTTGTAGATCATTTACATATTAATAAATATATATCAGAAATTCTATTTGACATAATCGAAAGTTCAAGCTTACTTTTATAAAATT